ACAACAACAACCACAACCACAACGACCACGACGATGACGACGATGACGACGACCACGACGATGACGACGATGACACTGACCTGGCTTGGCCTCAACCCATGACCACCCTCACAGGAAAACTTGCTGAGAGAGATTCTCCAGAGCTGTAGTGCAACGCCTACAAGGGAGGGTTCCACAGGGTCTGGCCAGTCGAGCGATTGTGAAAATAGGCTGTCCCGTTGGACAACATCCACTGTTCCCATCCAGCTGGCAAGTGCAGCGGCACATCCCAGCTCGACTGCTGCGTGGCACGGTTGTAGTAATAGATGTTGCCCGACGTCGGGTCTTTATGCTGCAGCCAGCCTGGAGGTAAAATGGGAGGAGGATCCCACTGGCTCTCACCTGTAACGGAGTTGTAGAAGTATGGCCGCCGCCGACCACAGCTGGTGTCCCAAGCTACCGCCCAGCCTGGAGGCAGCTCTGGCAAGTCTTCGCCCAAGGAGGAAAGGTGAACTTCGGACTGTTGCACAGCTCGGCAGGTCAACGAGGCTTCTTGATGCTGTCGCATGCCACTCTCGCCTCCGCTAACCAGCCTGCCACAGAAGGTGCAGGACGCCCACTCAGGCTGCTGGTATGAAGCTAGGGCCAAGTCCGCATCTTCATGCGGGCCAGCGAAGATGACGTCCTCAAATATATCCTCCTCCTCCTCCTCCTCCTCCTCCTGCTCCTCTTGCTCTTGCTCCTCCTCCTCATCCTGCTCCTCTTGCTCTTGTTCCTCCTCCTCCTCCTCCTCCACGTCTTCCTCTTGCTCCTCTTGAACCTCTCGGACCTGTTGGACGTGGACGTCGTCCAGCCGGCGACGTTTCGACGGCTCGGCGCCACTCACATCTGCCTCCCCGAGCACTTGTCTCTGTTGCATCAACGCGCCCAAGTTCTGAATAACCCAGAAGTTTTTCACGCACTCCTTGCTTTTGCAAACCTTGCGGCAATTGGGACACTCAAATAATCGCCGTCGAATGACCTTGTTGATGCATGCACGGCAAAAGGTGTGCCCACACTTGCTCACATACGGCGCCCGATCAGAATCGTTGTAGTCTTCACAACACAGTTCGCACTCCAATGCACCTCCGACTTGTCGGACACTTTTCTGTTCGCACCCACATTGGGCTTCGCAACAGCAACCTCGTCGGTTGCTCCCGCATTGGGTGAGGCATTCAACTCTTTCAGCTTTGCCTTGCACAAGTCGCGCAGCTGTTTATTGTCTTTCCTTGTAGCAGTGTCTAGAGACCGCAGAATAGCGAGGAGTGAGTCTGCTAGGTGCCGCTCCTCCTTGCCCACGGAATCCACGTAATCCTTCGGCCCCGTACCAGGAAATCGCACGTGCCACCGCGAGATGTCACCCCCTTTTGTAGGGTGTCCATGGCCGCTTCAGGCTGCTCAGATGGACAACGAAAGTATGCTACAAAGGGCGGGAATTGCCTTAAAATCCAACTCGGACGATGAAAACTGTGAAGGCTAACCTGTGTAGTGACGACTGCACCTTCGAGGTTTCAAACCATGACAGGCTACCAGCAATGCGCATCGTCTCTCAAAAGATGCAGAATGAATCAGGGCTGGTTGGACGCTAGCACTTAGGCGCCGTGCTTGGCTTCCTCTGAGGACCCATGTTGGGGCGCTTTTCAACTTGGAACCACCCAAGCATGAGTTTGGCTGGTGCAATCATGAGGGCCTAGCGTTTGAATCAAGACAAGAACCGCCTGCTAACTACAAAATCTAATTAATCCAGCAGATACTGCTTTTCGACCTTAGATGGACATCACACGGCTTTGAGAGGTTTCTGATCCAAGCTTCGAAGCCGCTGGTACATGCACGATATGATACTTCATCTATGATACCATGATCCTAGCTTGCTGTGCTAATTCTGGTCATGATTCTGGGCGCTACGCTGTTGCATCTGCTGTGTCAGAGACTCATGCTGATCTTTGCGGGTCTGCGCATGTCTTCTTAGAAGGTATCAAATGCATCTTGCAGTATAGAATTACGGCGGTGCCGGATCCAAGAAGTGCACAGAAGGATTGGATCAGACAGATGCAATCTGGCATATGGTCATGCCATTTGATCAAAAAGGCTTCCCCACAGAACATGTTGCTTGCTGAAGCCTGATACGGAGTAGCAAAGTAAGTTCCGAACCCGGAACGGAGAGCCACCGGGACGTTCTCAGCAAGAACAGCCCCGCAGCAAATGAAGCAGTTGCAGGCAGTCGGCTGTGTGCCGGAACTGAACTGATGTCTGCTCCGTGCCCACTGCACGCTCCGGTCACAAATGCCATGCATCATGAGAGACCCTCATATAGGCGATGGCAGTTTTCACACACAACAACTCCACCTGCGCTCGAAAGTCTTCAGGCATGTAAACTCTGAGACTCCAACCTGCGGATCTAAGTACTCGCCCACCTGCAAATAAGCGGACTGCTCTATAATTAAGATTCTTTCCTTGCATTCCTCACCTGTGTGAACACGACAAAAGATTACTTGGGTGGGTGGGTGGGTCGGTGGGTGGGTGGGTGGGGGTCACTGAAGAGGTATGAAGCTATGCTGATTCCTGAGCTCCTGGGGTTAGTTGAAAAAAGGCCCCTGGGGGTACAATCCTTGACCATAAGGGGCACAGCTCCCAGAATCAGAGGGCGATGTGCTTGACAGCAAGCACAGCAGTCTTGCTACATGTGGTGAGAGAGCGTGGGGTGTAGTGCCCAACACATGCACTCTGAACTGGGACAGTTCCAGCGTGTGGAGATCTTAGTACCCAGTACCACAACAGGCCTTCTGTGTTCTTAATGCCCAAGCACATGCAGCCTCAAGCTCACCTTTTTTCCACTTGAATCGAGGTAAGGGCTCTCATCTGCAGCATCACTCCTCCTGGACGATGTGCACTGGAATGCACTTTGGGGCTGAGCCTGGCCACCACCTGGCTTGGGATGTCACGTACTTGCGAAGAATCAGACCCCTTCTAATACTACGAAGAACATACGGGCATAAAATCTTACTACAGAGGCACTCCAGATACAAGTCATGTTAGAAGACTGGATGAACTTTAGCCTTGAGGAGGGGCGGGGCCTGTCTCAAAGTATTATCATAGGATGCATAAGGGTCTGCAGTCTGAATAGCCAGCAAATCGCGTTCGCACTTCCAACAGGTCCTGTCAAACCCCGACAGTCCTTAAAACAGTCCAACCATCACAGGAATGATACCGGCAGGCAATGGATCGAATCTCCTTCCTACTGCAGCCGAACATCCCAACACCGTCAGATTTCATTGGGAGTACGGTTGAGCGTTTGGTGTGTTTGGCTCGGGACTCCAATTTGAACTGGAGGAAACTCAAAAGCACGTTACAGTAGCATGACAATCTACACTACATTTGCCGTGGTAAGGCAACCATGATGGAAATCGGTCCGTAAGAATGGAGAGGTTTTATCAAGCATAACGGGGCTGTGTAACTGAAACGATAACAGTGATGGGCTTAACGCAGCAAGTATAAGGCGGCGTATCAGAGAGGGTTGCTAAAGCTGCAGCCTGCAGCACTACTACGAACCACCAAGGTTACTACGACGAGTCCTGCTCACGACTACATGCGGCTCCCAAGCAAGACTTCAGAACCATAAGAGCAACAAAATCAAACAAAGTAGGTGTGGGAAATGGAGGGGAGGAGGAAGTCGAAGCGTGTGCAAGAGGTGAGTACACGATGCTGCAGGTACGGCTGCAAGGTGCATCTACAACTCTATATAGACACAGACTCACAGACTGCCACCCGCCTCTCGCAACGAAGGCGGCTCGCATCTTGCGATGTCGCTAAGCGAAACCCATAGCACCGTGCTGCAGTCTCCCGAAGAATTTGCTGCGACAAGCTTGGCCAGCATTTCAAAGTACCCACCTTCCGGGCCACAAGGCATGAGGCATTCCCCAGCGCATGATGCATTCCCCAGCCCCACATACCGCGACAATTGTGGAAACGAGTAAGCAAACATGCGATCTTTGCGAGCGGGCTGACAGCATAATTACCTTCCCAAATCGAGTGCTGTATGGCAACGGAAAATGTCGCCCCAAGCGACTCGATTACATTTTGTGTCCAGGCAACAAGCCTACTCCAATCTGAGCATACACAAGAATCAAACTCACATAGGTAGGGAATTTGAGGACCCCCAATGTCTTTAAGTCTTCCTTTGGTACTTTGAGCTTCGGACTACCTTGCTTTGCAAGAGGGCGCGCTGGCTGTCTGCAAGGAAAATCTGTTGGCGGAGCTCCTTCCTGGATTTCTGCTGGGGATTCTGATTGGGTCTCGGGTCACCAAGATTTGAGGCTTCCTGAGCGCTAGAACATTACTTTGTGCACCGGGGATGAGCGCACTTCTGGGGATTCTTGATCTTTGTCTTTCGACTGCGGCAGGCCATGTTAGCCGTTAGCCTTTTCATGAGGCCTTCTCTTGTGCATTACCCAGCGACACCTCTTCCATCCTCTTCCATACCCCTAATCATACACCATGTAGAGATGCTAAGTATGGGTGGACCAGGGAAAAGTTTCACCAAATCTGCGTCAGGTTGCCTCTAACAAGTCAACCTAAAACTTAAACCCTGACCCCTAGTCCTGGACTCCCAACCAAGCATTACAAGCCCGAAATCTAAAAGTCCGCTCCACTATGCTCCCCCGACAATAAGCCTGAAACTACAAAACTGAACACCGATCTGGCACTGAATTACGCAACACCCTCAGCATAGTTCTGCGAACAACAGAACCAGCCAAGCTTCTCAGCTGCAGCGCTGGCTGCCAGCTGTTGGCGAAGCTGCTGCTCCTTATCCGTGGCCTCTGCCAGCGCGCCTTCGCAAAAGCCCGTTCAATAGGCCCGAAAGGTCCAGAATGAGGGTTTTGCAAACACACGGACTCTTTTCGTACTTCCCCCAGTGCGCATCAGAGAAGCATTGGTACTCACAATCTGAAGCTCTAGGATCGTTTTAAGCAGGATCTAGTGATTGGGCTTGAGACTTGCCAGCGTGTTCAAGTGGTTCAGGGATTTGAGGCTGATTAGCTGCTGTTGGATATTTCGCCCGATTTGTTTCTTCCTTTTTGCAGGTGCTACTTTTACTATTTCACAAAATGGTCATTGCAGGTTGTACTCTGAGAACGAGCCCATCCCCGTTGCACGGACCTCCACAAGCACGATCCGTGTCTACCAGAAACACCATAGTCCGTGTACTTCCGGCGGTCTTAATCCTTGACCCCAAGACCACTGTAGACCCCTGGATGATCAACCAGATCCCTTGACCCCCTGCTCCGCCAACAGCACACAAAAGCGCACAGAAGTTGCGCACTAACCTCGGAGCTCCGAGATTTTGCGCTGCAGTTGGGCCGATGTCTTCTGAGGTTCTTCAGCACCTTGGAACCACACTCTCGGCATAAGAGTTCACATGGTTCTATACAAGCAGGGCTCGCGTGAACCTTTGAGTGTAACCAGTGTAACCCCTGTTTAGGCCCATTTCCTAGCCAAAACTTTTTGAAGGAGCAGCATGTGAAGGGCGATTCTAATTACAAACGTAGCACTTCAGCTCGACACCCAGGAGACATGTTTAAATTATGTACCTGGATTTGGCCATCTCCCTTAACCATACCCCTCTAGATCCACGTGATACTGCAAAACCCGCACAAGACTTTAACAGTCCCAAGATTGGGTTGACTAGGTTGCTCGACTCTGTCTATCACCCATGCAGATTAAAGTCGGACTCCCAATTCTCACCCTACACTTGCGGGAACCACTTCCGACACTTGCAGGCTGGTCCTACATTTCTCCCGCATCCTCTTTCCAATGCTCAATCTCCAACCCTGCACGTTTGGGATCGAGACACCTCGCTTGCGCTGGATGAGCTTTTTTAGCTCTCGCGCCTGCCATGCAACAATACCATGAATAGCTCGAAGTGCTCTCAGCAACAGTAAGTACAAGACAAATGAGATGGAGGACAAGAAGCAAAGTAGAACAATCGCAGAGATGAATGATGAAACAGAATGACAACCAACATAATGAACGTGTGAGGCAGCAGTGGTCATTGTAGTCGTCCGGACGCTGACAAGAAACGCCCCTACACTCGGGTTGATGGTTGCAATTACATCAAGGAAATCCCGTGGTCAATGCTAGAATAACAGACCCCACCCCCCCGCTCTGGAATGCCTGCTGCAGCTTCAGCTCCAGCTCTTGACGAGCATTGCTTGGTGCGCTGGTGTTGGCAGACTTCCTGTCTCACGCAGGGCGGGCTGGAAAGGGTAACAGTACTGTTGGAAAATGAGGCTCCCATGGTGTGAGAAAGAATCTCTAAGAAACCTACCTGACACACCTGATTCGTAGTGTATTGCTCCATCTTCTGTTTCACTTACATCTCGGGGCACGCGTCTGTGTTAGGTTGTCGAACTAAATTCTAGAAGCATCGTGCTTGCATCTGAGGAAAAATATGAGGATCCAACGACTATACAGTTGGGCTCCCCATGATGAGGATGGTGATATTTTGCTGTATCTCAAGGGGAGACCCTAATCTTGAGAATACCGATCCGGATTAATATAGTCTGCCCTAACTTTCGTGGATCCATGGGCCTAGTCTCCTGGGATTTGAGCTCCTGAAGCTGCTGCTTCATCTCCTCGACCTGCAGGGTTGTGTGAAGCAGCAATGAGGAGGGGGGGTGTCTCAAAGACGGGGTCGCTAAGGGACCGTAATGATGGATTCTGTCAATAGATTAGAGCCTATGTGTCATGCGTGATTATACATACAGAGCTATCTACGTGTGTGTGTGTGTATATATATAAAGGAAAATACCTTACCGTCGTAGTGATGTAAAGATTGGGCTGCAATGCGGCACGTTCCTTATGTATGTATGTATACATATATACATGTATTGATTGCAAAGGGATTGTGGTCGCCCCTGTCCCTTTTCCCGAAATATGAAGACTTCATGTGCCCAGTGGGGGCTGTGCGCTCGGAACATTCCTGTTCCTTTTAATGCAAAAAGCCTGCAAAACAAGATGCAACGTGTGGAATCTTCGGGTTACCATGGTTCTATACATTTGCACTCGTATACCTGCGTTGATCGTCGCAAGGTTGCCCTCTGCCCACCTTCTGCTGGTGTGACTTCTTCTCCTGGCCCCTCTTCGCCTTTAGCTGCTTGAGCTGCGCCTGGAGATTTTTCAGCTCCTTCGGCAAGTCTCAGGTTCAGGATTTGAGGGTCCGGGCTATAAATTTTGTTTGCAGAAATAACAATAATGAGCTACAATGGGAGGCTCAGGCCCCTTTGATGCTGATGTCCTGGTCACCGGAGGAGCCGGCGGTTCTTAACCCAGAGCATCCCCAAGCCCCTAAGCCCCGAACCTGAACCGTCCGCCCTCAACCCAAGGATCCCTAAGAATCAGGACACTTCCAGGTGGGTAGTTGTTAGGCGGGTGCCCTTACTGGCACTTTCGGGATGCCTATCTACAGTACAGTGGTTTTTCCTGATACAGCCACACAACGCCTCCTACGATCCTTATATGGCGGTACCTATGTGGTATCGAACCATCTTGGAGTGCCCCACCCCTAAACCACTATATACCCTGAATGGTAGTAGTTTCCATTTTACTTTCCATTATCCCCAGCAGACACATTGGACATGAGCCCTGCAGATCCTGGTCCATCTGCTTCGTTGCATCCTGAATATGGTCTTTGCGCTTCCGGTAGCGCTCCTGTCTTTGGCTGAATGACACGTTTGAGGGTTTATGACGTAGCTACCCTCGCCAGTTTCTGGGTGATGGGGTGAGCTTCTCTCAACAGCCATTGGATGAGAGACGAATCGTTGTGCTTCGGCCACCAAAGGTTCTCAGAACCATCCCTTCACGTGGCTTCCTCCAACCGATGGAATGGCAGATGAAACCTGAAACCGAAATCCTTCCCTCTGAGGCCCAACTTTAGGCATGACTCCTATGAGCCACAACAGGCCTGCTCCTGAGCCAGCGTGCAGGACTTCTGTTCCAGTAAGGTCGGAAGCGGCACGCTTGTTGCACAAGACTTGTCCTGAAATTCCAGGTTCTCGGGCAAGAGTCTTAGAATGTCTTACTGGCAAACCTTTTGTGCAAGAAGTCCAAAAAAGAAACTCTGGTCGGGATCCCAGTTTCTTGCACCTCAGGGATAGGCTGGGCACCCGGAGACTGCGGGAACTTTGCCCACTGCACGAACTGCTCCAGCTGTTCTGCGACTCGAAGGCTTGCTGCAGATGCCATGGCTTCTACGAGCAACACTAAGATATGTGCTAGCAGCTGCTAGCAGAGCCGTGGCCCAAATGTTCCCATATCGAAAATCCGCTTAATCCCTGTATAGCCCTTCCTAAGGGTTCTCAAGGTTTCTCATGGATTGTGGAAATCCACCGCAAGCACAGGATGGCTTGACCCGCTTCAGAAAGGGCTGCAGCAAGGAGTCAAATCGACCAGTGCGCTGAGCACAGCTTTCCGCAGTTGCAGTAAATGCATGATCTTCGTGGCACAGTCGTGATAGTCAGATGGTCGATGAAAGCCTCGTGAATCCTTACAAACAGTCAATGTCTTTAAAAGTGCTGCTGGCAGCTGGCGCTTGGGGCTTGCTGGGGATCCAACAGGCACCGAAGGCCTACGAAAATACTGCCATCTGACAGGGGTGTTGCAGGTTCCTTGCTATGCAATGCATGCTCATCTGGCAAGAGTAGCCACAGTCCTGCCTCTTTGCGCTGTGGGTGCTCTTCCTGCCATGGTCACAGTGAGGAAGTCAGCTTTCCAAACTTGGTGGCACTGACGTTCATTCCACTGCAAAAGCTGAGTGGGCAGCATCCTTCTGAATGTGATAATACGTCCAGGAAAGGACATGCTCGAACCTGAGTCGAATCACAGGTAGGGCAATAACACGAACGGGTTCCTCTCAGCTGCTCCAAAGGCAAGCTCCTGTGATCGCAGGGTATAAGAATCGCACAACAGATTGTGACTACAATGTAGAGAGCAAGGATAAGGTAATGAGACGATCAAGTTGGGATTTTTGCATTGCCGAGGTTGCGACATGCCCCTCATGCGCATTGAGTTGTCCTTGCTCCAGTTCGGGACCTCGACAAAACACTTGCTTTCCACTAGCTACAGTGAAGCGTGTCAGGCCGTGCCCACGCTATCGGGAAGCATTCGAAGAAAAATTCTTCTGGCCCTCAGACAAAAGAACGTGTGAATCATGACATCCCAAGCCAAGCCGCATGAGCAAGAATCAGGACCTCCCACATTATGCTCATGCTCTTGGGATTACATGTTCATCCGGCTTAGCAGGGTCCATGCCGGGATGCCAGGGTTGAAGAACAATCAGTGATAAGATTTCACAAGAAACAAGTCATTACCGTGGGAGGTCTGAAAATCGTTGTCATGCATCTTCAAACCCTAACTAGTCAATTCGTGTCGTTGTCTGCGTCTGGCATTTGAATGGACGTCAGCGCAGGCTTCTGTTTGAAAGGATCCAGGCTCACTGAATCGGATCCTGGATCAAGTGGGACCAAATATCAGCTCCCTGCGTGGCTTGGAGAATAACGTGGCTTAGGACGACAAGCAAAAGCTTTGATGGCGCCATGGTCGTAACAAGAAGAGTAGGACAAGAAGAGGAAACCATTGGCAGGAGCAGGACCAGCAAGGAAGTAACAACAGTCGCAGGAAATTGCAGATGCGGCAACTTTCTTGAATAAGCCGGCGACCAGCCCGTTTGTGAAGTCGCGCCTGTAGCTTCAAGGGCTTCATGTCAAGGCCCAGCTGGCAGAGCTGCAGCCCAGACTGCTTGTTTAGGACAATAGCATGCCATAGTGTTATGCTTATAGTTACTGTAATTACCACGCAAACTCTGGATCCCGTCCTTTTGGGTGTTGACAAAAAGAAGCTCCAAACAGCCAATGGTTTTGCGATAGCGCAGTAGCTGCAGCAAAGTTGCTTGTCCGTGGGATCTCGAACACCCATGTTCCGAATCTCCTGAGCTTTCAAGACAGGGTGGGTGAAAGAGAACAGTTGTGCAATAGGATCCGAATCCTGGCTCGCCAGTTTTCAGGGATGGCCTGGAAGGCACTCCCATTGCAACAACGAACACGCTGGCTTCAAGGCCGAGCCATACTGATTATTCAGGAATATTGGGATAATAGAAAAGAAAATGGGAACTACTACATTATGATAGGGTATGTATTGGGGTATATTATGTTGGGGTCATAGGACAGCGTATATAGATATCTGCATGAATGGAGCTTAAGGGTGTAATTTCATGCAATGACCGTCCAAAAACCAAAAGCGGGGCAAAAGGCCTGATCCTTGAGGTTCCTGCAGGGCCCCTCATACCCAGCAACAACCTGCAAAGGACCCATGACTTGGGGGAAGTCCATATCATGTACTGTGAAGTATACTCCCGGCACTATCTCTGTAGAATGCATCTGCCTCTTTGCGGGTCCTAAGCCTATCCGACTCTTTGATGTAAGTCGGAACACTCCACTATCCCTGAAATCCCAAAACAATTCCTGATACAACCTCTCTATGAGGATGCTTAGTAGAAGGAGGGACCCCTTCTCCTAAATGGCGGACATAGCCATAGCCACCCCAGCATCCCAAGGGGCCCTTGTGACAAAGCCACATAAGCAAACTGCGGTCGCTCAAAACCCTCGACTGGGACCATGCTCAGGTGTGGTCATCCCATTCACGGTAGGCTGTTGCCAGCGGCTGCCACGAGCGACGGCTGGACGGGCTTCCGAACTTAGCAGCAAGGATCTCAAAACCGGCGTCCTTGTCCGGGCTGGCTATGCTAGAATACATATCGGCTGTGTAGGAAATACTGGCAACAAGGAGGTGACATTGTGCTCCCCAAGAACTCGGGAAGGTGCTTGCAATACTCATCTATGTCAGCGCTCCCTGCTATTGGAGTGCAACCCCACAAACACAGGATCCTGAACGCAGGGGTTCAAACAAGGAATAAAATTTTGGCACGTGCCCAATAGTCCAGTACCAACCCAAACAAATTTTGGGCCCAAGTTGATTTTCCCCATCACATGTCAGTCATGCCAAGCATCATCATGTGAGCCATGGGCAAACCTTCTGGTTAACTGGGCGTGTGCAACATTGCAGAGCCCTCTTTGGTCGCTTCTACCACCTAAGGACATGTTGGCGTAGATCACGTGTGATTGTAGCTTTGAAAATAGCAATGATAGTAATAGTAATAATCGTACTAATAGTAATAGTTAATAGTCATAATAATACGAATAATGGGCATTCGTATGAGGAACAGGGTGGCACTCTTTGGGATCTTCCGGTTGACATCTGCTGATTTAGCCCGCGGCCATGGACTGCGAAGAGTTGCTGTACCTTCCAAAGTAACTCGGGGAGGGGCTTCGGGATTTGAGTTTAAGGGAGAGTACATGTCAGGCCCTGATTATCATCCTGGACTTCATCCGCAAGGTCGCTAGTACCAGTACCTCTCTCCATCCCCAAGGCTTAGCCACGACCGCCAGCCTTGTACTCAGCACAACGGAAACTACAACTCTCCAGTGATGCCCAGTCAGACATAATGGAGCTTGCTTTCAGAAAGCCTTTAGTTTGAGAAGCATCAAGGGGATTGGCAGTTCCCCATTTGTCGGATGTCAATGGCTGACCTTGTAATGATCTGGGTGCATCGGAAACCTAATGCTTGCATCTGAAAGCCTAGAAGGATCCAGCTGTCCCTTCAGCAAACTCGAGACAATCTCAACTAGGCAAACTTGAAGCCTAAAACTGTTGGGGGGCTCACTTTGGGGCAAATATGGAACCGCAAACACTTCAAGGGTCACCAGGTGGTCACGGAGGGTGACTGCTGCGCATAAAGAAGCGGAGCACTCTGAATGCGACCTCAAGGTGAGGAATTCCACGGATGAGGGAACTCAAGAGATTGAAGGTATTGGATTTCATAGTAGTGCGTGGTGTTCCGCTAACTAAGGCACTCCCTATAGACCTGACATAGTAGAATGCTTGTCATGATATTGTGGAGGTTGCGGCTTCCGCCAGTGCGGGAATGATTTGCAGGTACGGCAAAGCAGAGGAAGAGGAAAACAGGAATCCTCAACAGCCACTCCAGGCCCCAAAAGGATCATGCCTACTCACCCTGCAACTGAACTTGGTGTAGGAAGTCACTTGGGGACGCGGGAGTCAAACTGCAGTGCAGGTAAGCCACTCATGGGCCGCGTGGAGAAGCCGCCCGTGGAGCGCAGGGTGTGAAGCTTCTCCTAAGTCTTCTGGAACATGTGGCTCAAAAGCATGCTGCAGGGCTTGGGGCTCAGGGATCTGAACGTAGCCCAGGATTCCTGCAAGCGCAAGAAGCAACCAACCTCGAACAACAGAACGCGATAAGTGGGATCTCCCAACCCTACACCCCTCACAACGATGGGACCCTCAACAATGCGAAGCACGACGCAAGACGGCGCCACAAACTTCACACGCAACAACAGGACTCTGATTGCGTACTCCAGACAACTGAGGCAGGCTCTCCACGACTCCCAACAGGAGACATGTCCTTGGTCCACTATGACGGCTGGACACTGCAGGTACCATGTGACAAAAGACGGTATTGTTACGCACATGGGGACACAAACAGCGAAGCTTTAAAATGTTTGCCAGGAATTTTCCAATCAGTCCGCGCTAAGAGTCAGCCTATATCACAACCGTGCAGATTCGCGTCCTAGGCTTCCATGTGGCCTTCACTGCAACAGTAATCCGAAAGCAGTGCTCCACAAGGGCTCTGACAGCATCGCTGAAGTGACTTCGACCTCATAGAGGGTCATCATGATGATCGCGTTCACAACACACAGCCCAAACTCTACTGCAAACCAAGAGGTCCCAAAAAAGCGCAAGGCAATCTCGACAAATACAATCGTCGGGCTACATCTCATGTTGCACAAGCAGCGTGAATTCAAATCACTCTCTGAAGAAGTCCATACAGCAAGCATGATAATTGTATGCTGGAAAATTGCTGAAACCGCGGAAACTACCGGCATCAATTGCAAAGTCCAAAAGCGTGACATGCAGGTGCTGATGTGGAGGCAGAGGGGTTCTGGTAATTATCATGGGCTTCTCCGGAAATTCGTAGGATTGGTGGCCGCTCGTAGGCCTTACAGCATCCTTGTTGCGACTCCCTTCCGGCGTATATCAGATCCCAACTCCCAAATTAGCCCTCAACCCCACAGTCTATTCAGTGTACCAAACGAGGCGAAAGAAAAAGAGAT